TTGCAAAGGGGTGAAAATGAACTCAGGTTTTGGTACTGAAGGCTGTGTGAACCTGAGATTTTGAGCTGAAGATTGTAAAATTCTAGCGAATGAAGAATTGCTTCGAGAGTACAGTAAAGTGGAGAAAGAAAAGGACAATTCAGAAGTTCTTGAGAGACATTGCAAAAACCTATTCTTAATTGGAAGTGAAAATATGAATGAAGGAGATACTAACAGGAATACAAGAAGTACTGAAAGAGTTGAAGAACTTGAAGGAACCATGTTTTGGCTTGTGTTTTTTCCAATGGTTCTTGCAGAGAGTTGTGATCTATGTATCCAAGCTGTTCTAAGATAATACTAGTTAGATACCCACGCTACGTTACGGTCGGATAACCATTATACACATAAGGTCAATGATTTGTATGGTATAATATGTGTCAAAATCTTTTATTTCTCATAATCAATATAAATCAAATTTAGTTACTAAGTAAAATCGTTTGATTTATATATATTTATTAACAAAACAATCAATAATATTATCATAAAATGTTGTATTTGAATAATTGAAAGGTTCTTTCAAAATATTATTTCAATTATTTTACTTAAAAAATATTGATTTTAAAATATAAAGAAGAATAAATAACAAATAATTGGTGTTATGTGTGAAGATAAATAATTAATTTCTAACAAAACTAATGATATATATTTTAATTATTTAATATATATATATAATACTTAGTAGATTTAGAGTATATAATATAAACAATTTTGTTTTAAAAAACATTATATAAGTCTGTACGAAATATATTAAAGTCAATAAATTTAAATATAAAATATTACAAAATTAGTTCTCAAAAATTTTAGTTCTTAATTTATGATGAAAGAGATTCTTGAATTGCAAATTAAATTATAAATTAGTTCTTCTCATTCAAAAAAAGAATGAATTAATTCTTTTGGTTTCAAAAATAAATTATTTAATTTTTAAAAGATGTTTTTGGCCTTTTTTCTATTTAATTTTTTTTTATTTTTTAAGAAATAGAGAAAGAATAAAAAAAATATGAAAAAAAATATTTTATAAAATATAAAAATAAATTATCGATGATCAACACTGATTAAAAAAATTAAATAATTTATTTTTTAAACCAAAAGAAGAAACAAAAAATTTAATTTGATGAGAATTTTTATAATAAACAACAAATTTAAGAGATTAATTTTAATCAATAAAAAAAAATAATCGACATATGTGTTTGTTCTAAAATTTAAAAATATAAGAGACCAAAAATATCTTTTAAAAATATGAGAAACAAAAAATAAATTTTGAAAAAATATGAGATAAAATTGGAATAAGTTAAAAACATGATATATCAAAATATTTTTAAAAATATAAGGATTTAAAAATATATTTTGAAAACGTAAGGGACCAAAAAAGAATGAAGTGTAAAATTCGAAAATGAATATCCAAAAAAACTATAAAAATTACGAAATACCATTGTAAAGAATTACAAAATTACCACTAATGAATAATGAACTAAGGTAAATGAACAGTAATATACTGTTAATTTATCTCAGTTCTTTTAGTTTTTTAGGTAATTTATTTTTTCTGAATCCAATGTGCTAAGTGGACGTTTTTCTGAACCCAATTTTCCATATGAAAACAATCCAGATGAGGAGAAGCTCTGCCCATGAAGTCTACACAGCAAATCTCTTAGAAAGGTAAGAAAGTGGAGCTTGGATAGCACAAAGGAAAAACTAACATAGCAGGTTGGATTAAAAAAAAAAAAACTGAGGACAACATAGCCAGCTTGGATAGAATAAAGAAAAACTAACATAACTTGAAGGAATCATTTTGCCTGTTTTGGCTTTTGGCTGGATCATCTGGTAAGGAAGGGTTGTCATGTATTCGTAGATTTGAGTTTTATTATATTTTCAACTGCCGACAAAGAATCCCACCTCCACGCTATCCAATAAAATGTTTGGAGTAATGTAGTAATAATATATATATAGTCTAGATAATCTCCGTGGTTTTTCATTTCATTAAAATTATTTCCTACTTTTGTTTTTTAATCCCCGTGCTGTCCATCAGGTCCTGCTCATATACTATCTTTCCCTTTGATCTTGTTTTAATGTGATGGGACATTTCATCTGTAAAAAACTAATAAGGAGCCTTTTTTTTCTTGTCAGCCTCAATAATTTGGCAGTCTCTGTACTGTTATGTGTTGTGATGTGATCTGAATTCTAATTTTAATTATATAAGGATTTCATGATGGAATCATTATGGGTTCAAGATTGGTCTTATCTAGCATTGGAAAGCTTGTAGGATTAGGATTCTTACGAATCTTTTACGTATCAAAACTAAGATATGTTGTCTATAAACATGTGCTTTTGCTTTTTTTAGAGTGTCAAATTGTATCACTTATGGACGTAGGCATAGCCGAATCACATCCAATCCAATCAATGTGTTGTGTGAGTGCTTTTTTTTTTTTTTTTTTTTTTTTTTTTTTTTGCTAAGACATGTGTCTATTTTCGTGTGTGCGATCTTTAACAAATTAGTAGCGGAGCTTCAGGTTTGTTGTTTATGGTTAGGGATGTACATAGCCGAATCATTGTAGTTAACGTGGAAGCTAATGTTGTTGAAGATAATTATGATAGGTAAAGTATATTCTAACTGCATCTAGTGATTCAGATTTTAAAAACAATTCGATAATGGATACAGGTTGTTCATTTTATAATAAGAGTTAGTTCTCCACGTATGAGCATATTAATAATGGGATTGTCTTGATGGACGATAATACTCCTATTAAGGTTGTAGAAATGGGGACTGTTCGAATCAGAAAGCATGATGTTAGACATGTTCCTGATACGAAGAAGAATCTGATTTCTCTAGGTACTCTTGATAATAAAGAGTACAAGTACCCTTCTGAATGTTGAGTTATAAGAGTCAGCAAGGGTACGTATGTTACTACGAAGGGGAAAAAAGGTTTCGTCTAACATATATATTGCCTGCTGCTACAGTGATCGGAGTTGCTACACTTTCCCTATCTTTCATGTCAGATTCGGATGTAACTTGGTTGTGGCATTTAAGTGAGCGGGGAATAAGTATGTCGAGAAGAAGGAATTTGTTATGTGGGCAGAGTAGAAGTCAGTTAAGACTTACAAGCTAGACAAAGATGTTAAGTTGTGAAGACTGATATGGATAGAGGTTCATAATATAAGGTGTTACATAGATCTAGCACGACGAGTCTTGCTAGGAGGCAACGGTCCTTGCGAGGGCTTGAGAACAGAGCTCCCAAAAGATTTACAAAATATTAGACCAGATGTATAGATCCGTTACGTCTTTTTTTTATAACCCTAGTTGTTTATACTATAAATAAAGATAACATCATTTGTATTTGTAGCTGTTATTTGACAAAATCTAATAAGAAATTCCAATGCAGTTGTGAAGTAGACAACATTGTCAAATTATAAAAAAAATCCTTGTATTGTGTGATTTTACTCGCCTTTCTACTATATTCTTTTGCTTGATTCATTTCCTAACACAAGAGTACTTTTGAATTATATTTATTATGATCTTTCGAGGAACTTTAGAGTTCCTTAAAAAGATGGTGCTAGGTATGTGCTGACTTTTACTGATGATTACTCCATAAAGACCTTGGTTTCTTTCTTGAGGACAAATATGAAGTGTTTAAGATTTTAAAACAACGGGAGATTATGATTAAGAAGCAAACGGGGAAAATGGTGAAGTGGCTCAGGACAGACAATGTTCTGGAATTTTGTTCATCAGAATTTGTTGGATTTTACAAGGAAGAAGGTATTGTTAGACACTAGGTAGTTAGGCATACTTCCCAATAGAACGGTATAGCTAAAAGGATGAATAGAACTTTGTTAGAGAGAGCAAGATATATGTTGTTGAATGCTCGATTGTCAAGGGATTTTTAGGCAGAAGTTGTTTCCAGAGCTTGTTATTTGATTAATCGATCTCCTTCATCAGCTTTAGAGTTTAAAACTCGTGATAAAGTATGGTCTGGTAGACCTCTTGATTACTCTAATTTGAGAGCTTTTGGATGTGCAGCTTATTTATGTACGGATGATAGAAAATTGAAATTTAGAGCAAAAGAAGCAATTTTCTTGGACTATACATCTGGGTGAAGGGATGCAAGCTTTGGTGTTTTGATCCTAAATGACCAAACTTTGTTGTTAGTAGAGATGTTACATTCAATGAGGTGGAAAAACTAAAATCGAAGAAGTCGATGGTTATGGATTCTATTTTAAAGGAGAGTATCTCAAAGCAAGTAGAGTCGAGCGATCTTGAATAAAGTCCTTTGCAAGATATTATTAATGATCATCAAGATTCAAATCAGGTGTAGGTTTCAGAAAAAGGTATAGGATATTATGTATTCAGTTTTGGTAGTGGTGCTATTATTTGGGAGGTACTTTACAATCTTTCGAGACATTTTCTACCATAGAGGCAGAGTACTTGGCGATGACCGAAGCAGTCAAAGAAGCTATTTGGCTTAGGGGTCTCTTTGGTGAGCTTAGTTAAGAAAGGCTTCCCATTTCGAGCGTTGCTTGTTGGCGATTCTTTTCAGTTTGTGAAGAGCTCTGAAGAGGGGTTCGACGTATAAGAATCTTGATGCTTAAAATGCTCAATTTGCAGTATTCAATCAATTCTTCATCCCAATAAGAACTTGCTCAATAGAAAACTCTGCACTGTAATATCAGTTTCTGTAAGTTAAGCAAAATCATTAAAATTGTTCCAACTTCCACTTATGACAAACATTGAAATAATACAGACACATGTAATCAAAATATACATATATAGAAATGCTATAATGTTTGAAATTCCAATTTCTACTGCAGTTGGTCTGCAACTACATATGAAATATCTGTGAATTACCAAAAAATTTAGCATGGGCACCCCAGACCTCCTCCAAGAAATCTCTACTTTACTATACATTCCATTTACCCAGTTTAGTAGATTACTATAATTAATAAGGATATTTTAATTTAAATTAGGGGTCATGTCAAAGTTCAGTATGAACAATGCGGTCGCTGTTCAAATCTGCTTGCTCAACGATTTCTGTCTCGTCGTTGATGCTGTAGTCTTGGGCAATTTCTGTCTGGTCAATGAAACTATAGTTTTTTTCATGGGAAGTTAAGCAATCAGCTGAAGGATGAACAAAGCCATATCCAAAACCTTCGGCCGAATTGCAGTAAGTTTCTGCTGTGCCATCCTCCTTCTCTAAGTTGATGTTACTGAGGACTATGTTGCTGCAAGGAACTGTGTCACTGCAGGCAAATTTCATTGCTTTTGCACTGTTTGTAGTCCCACTAATATTGCGGTACATGATCTCGCTGATCTTTACTGCTGATGTCTAACAAAAACGAAAGCAAAAAATTGGATATTTTCAGAATTCTGATTGCATTATTAAGGTAGTTATTAAGAGTAAATTGTCAGATATGTCTAGCAGCAATAATGAAATAGAACTTGGAATATGTACCTGATTTTGGCAGGATTTTGGAGAATCACAGTAGAATTGGTCAATAATGATGGGGTTATCAACATTTTCCATTCTCACATTTTCAAAACGTACCCCGCGAACATAGCCATTACCTCCCTGCAGCATATAGAGATCCAGAAAGGATATCAGCAGGGGATTTTAGATGCACTCTCCATCAAACATTCCGCAAATCTTGTACGAAAACATCATGTAAACAGTGACATTAGAATCTGAACAGTTATAACCATGTCCTGGGGTATTACCTGCCAAGTCTTAATCCTGACGCCATTGGATGCGTCCCTGATAAACGCAGTATCCAGGACCACCTTTGTGACTATGCCTGTTGAGTTGTCCTTCCCAAGACTTCCAATGCTGAGTGACAGAAATTAAAAAAAAAAAAATGAATAATAATAATGAGAACTGATGTCTCCCTTTATGGGATTTGGCATGATTTCTAGAATTTCATATTTAACTCAACCTGATTCCATGTCCTGGTCCACAATATAATCTCTTCATCTTAATACCAGAGCTACCGCTGACGATCGAGACACAATCATCACCTGAATATTCCATAGAATCAACAAGACATTCAACCTGTCAGCATGTTTACCAATAATATAAAGAATGGGGTTCAGATCTAAAAACCTGTTCCAATTTTGCAGTCCTCGAGAACAACATTAGTTGATGCAGTAATGTGGATTCCATCAGTGTTTGGACTGTCTCCAGGAGCTGAGACACTAACTTTAGATATCCGGACGGATGCTGACTTGGAAATCGCAAAATGCATCTGCTGGCTGTTCTTTATAGTAAGACCTGTTACTTTCACTGCTGAGCTCGAATCAATGGTTAATGCCTGCAAAGACAATATTTGTTAACATCCCAGGTAATCTGCAGAGGCCACATTTGTTAATGAAGGTAAAAAAGATCCTTACCGTCGGCGCTCCTCTGCAAGGCTGTAAAGAAAGAGAAGGAAAGTTAACAAAAATTTTGTTTAATTCAAGTAGAAAACCATGAATGAAACTATGGAATAAAATTTTTGAATAATCACATTGGTCTTGTTCTTTTTGCAAGATGACTCCCACCATTTCCTGCCTGAGCCATCAATAACTCCATTCCCTTGGAAGAGGACTCCATTTAACTTGGAGAAATCAAGCCATTGTCGTCCAAATCTGGGGTCCCAGTTCTCAGGCTCATCTGGTGCTACAATTGTTCCATCAATCTGTGAAGTCATGATGACAGAGAAATGTTAAACGTAAGATGACGACGACGCAGCTGGTTCGACAATAGAAGTGCTCATCTGCCGAGACATTGCTGCCAACAATTTACGAAATATAAATTTGGGATAGATTTCACTTGAAGCAACATAGCAGATTACCTGGATGACCAATCTATCTTCACAAGGGCCTGTAAATCTTGTTGCATTGACTAAGTAACGGCGTCCAGAAGGAACCAAGAGAACTGATTTTGGTGTAGTGCAGGCGGTGTCCCAAGCTTTTACAAAGGCCTGGAAATGTCAGAAGTCAGAACAGAACATAAAACCTGGTCAGGGCAATAAGCTTTTGGCCAGCAGACAAAAGAAAGTGAAACAGTAAAGAAAACCTCCGAAGTATTTTCAAGAATATCTCAAATAAGAACCTGAGTGTCATCAGAAATTCCATCTCCAACAGCACCAAAGCTATCAACATTCACAAGAACTTTGCCACCACGTTCGCTTGTCCACGACGGCATGTCGAAAAATTCCACCCCGTCTTCTTCATCTATCTCAAAGCTTTCAAGCTCCTCAAGCAAGGCAAAGTTGTTGTACGCCATGTTTTCAGCAACTCCATTAGCCACTATCAGCAAACCAAGCAAGGTAATGATGAATAATTTTTCCATGATTGTCTAATCTGGATGCTTTGCTTGAATGATTGGTTGATATAAATTGTTCCAAACATTGAATTTTCATTTATATGTGCAGATTAGTTGGAAATGAAGGGTTTTGACGGCTATATGGCTTGACTTAAAAGTTCATGAAGGAGCAACATTTTCTTCAAGCCTCAGACTTAAAGTACAAGGGAAATAAGACCTCTTTGCTTTACTCTTCAACCAATAAACACCATGTTCACTTTCTGCATTTTCCTTGTCTTAGTTTTCAAGCCTGATGACCAAAGCTAGCTAGCTCCTCACCTTCTCTAATGGCTCAAAACAGTACTTTTTCTGTCATGATCAACACTTCCATGAACATCACTTATACGAGCATCGATGATATTGTCTGCAGCTCGTTATTTATGCACCTCCAATCCTGTGGATGGTAAAGTTCACTCTTCAACCAATAATATGATTTGAAAAAAGTATAGAAAAATTGATGAGAAAATAAGACATTTTATAGAATAAAAATAATATTAAATTAAACATAATAAACACTTATTAAATGACTAAATAATAGTTTTTGAAACAAGAATGACTAATTAATTTGTTTCTTGAAACTAGAGAGATTAATTTATAATTTACTCCTGATATAATCTTATAGTCAATAGAACAGCTTGGATCGTTTGGCTGAGAAGAGTCTGTCTAACCCTCAATTTCTGGGAATTAATAATATAATTAAATGGGACCTATTTATATATCATTATTTTTTTATCTATTAAAAAAATTTATGAAAATCATGTTTACTTTATTAAAAATATATATAAAATATTGTGAGTAAATTATAAATTAGTTCCTCTAGTTTAATTAAATAATTAATTAGTCCTTTTTAAAAATAATTATTTAGTCCCTATATATTTAATTTTCTTGTAATTTAATCCTTTTTTATTTTAAGAAAAATAATTGAAAAAGATGAAAGCTTTAATGAGAAAAAAAAAAGATGTTTTTTTAAATAAAATAATATTAAATTAAGTATGGTCAAGATTAGTCAATAGACTAAATAATTAGTTTCTTAAAATGGGGACTAGTGAATTTGTTTCTTAAAAAAAGGGACTAATTTATAATTTACTCAAACTATAAATAATGCAAACTCAATTATTTAATTAGAAACCAAAATAAAATATTTAATTGATTTTATGTCTAATTAATTTTAGATTAAATTTACATTCATATATATATATATATATTACATTTTGATCAAGTACCTTGGTTGATCTTGCTTGCACAATCTGCATTCATGATTTAGGGTTACATCAATTCAACTTTGATCTTCCCTTTTATCAACCAATCTGATCTATTGATCTTTAAACGCATAAAACACTGATTCTTGCATCCTAAAATTCAACACACCTACTTGTTTTGTTGCTACATATTTGGTGACGTAAATATATTTTTCACCTAAAAGACCGAATAAATTATAAATCAATCCCTCTTGTTTAAAGAAATGAATTATTAATCTTTAAAAAAATAATAATAATTCAGTCTTTTATATTTTAATTCAATCCATAACTAAGTAATTTCATCAATTTTCTATTAGATAAGTAATTTGTGCTTCTAAATTGCCTTTTCTTTTCTTTTTCTTTTTTTCTTTTTTTTTTTTTTTTTTGGTTGAGGAGAGAGAAAGAGAGTGGGTGCAGGAGATAAATAAAGCATAAAAAAAGAAGATAACTTGAGAAAAAAACACTAATTTAACAAAAAAACTGATGAAAAAATTAAGTTATTGATGAAATTAAAATATAGAGGACTAACTGATTAGTTTTCAAAACAAAAGGGACTAATTTATAATTTACTCCTAAACCATGTTAGTGGCCTGATAGTTGCTAAATTACATATTGTTTTGAAAAACATGGTTATCCTCGGCTGGTCCAAGGATGCCCCATTAAGTATAAATATCAAAAAATATATATATACATGTTTATAAAGACAGATATTTTATCTTTCTGATTAATTCTAACTCCACATAAATATAAGTAATCCTGTACATAATCAAGTTCCTTAAACCGATATCTGCAGGACTGTTTCTTGGAGACATAAAGAGCCATTCATTTCTAGCATATTGCCAAAGGGCATCAACCATTAACCTGGCCTTTCGGCTGCCTTCTGGGTTCTAGCCTTAGCCTTATGTTCTTTTCTTATAACTTTTCATATAATTTCTGACATTAAGATGTTGTTTGTTTTTGTGTATTTCAATAGTGCAGAAGCCAGCAAGCTTTTAGAAAACCAATGGCAAACTAGCTGACATTTGCAGCACAGAAACTTTCTACATATATACTAGATGGGCATGGTAATTTCAGCACAGATACCACTTTCCCACAATTTATTTAAGGCCATGCATATAAGATTTTAGTCACTCTCTAACTCTCATGGAAGATGGAAGTGGTGGAATGCTTTGTTCGTGCCTGAAGAAGTTGTCAGGATAAACTTTTGTCTTCACTTTTACCAATAACCCCAAAAACATCTTCTCCCATAGCTGCCTCCTCCACCTCCCCTAATTCCATAGCTGCCTCTTCCACCTCCCCTAACAACCCCAAAAACATCTTCTCCCATAGCCTCCCTGTCAAGAACTCTTCCATGAACATTAACTACAAGAGCATCAATGACATTTTCTGCTGCAAGGCCATATTTTTGCAACATGGAGCCATATGCACCTCCTGTAATGTGGCCACCAATTCCTACACTGGTGCAAATTCCAGCTGGGAAGCGATGGTTTTTGGATTTTTCAGCTATTCTATGGTAAACTTCACCGATTGTAGCACCTGCCTGAACTCAGAGGCTGTTATCATCAATGTCAATACTAATGGTACGAAGGTTGGCCAGGTCTACAACAATGAAAGGCTTTTCAATGTCAGAGACATAAGACAGACCCTCAAAATCATGGCCTCCACTACGGACTCAGGTGAATTCCTAGCTGTTTGGAGCAAATAACAGCAGCATGGACATGATATTGATGCCACGGTGTGAAGATAAACTCAGGACTCTGTACTGATAGCTAGGTGAACCTCAGGCTTTGAGCAGTAGACTGTAAAATATCATTGAATGAAGAGTTGTATGAGGTGTAAACTTAGTTGAGAATGGGATCGAATTGTTAGAATTTCTTGAGAGACATTGTAGAAAACTATATTGAAAGCGATGAAACGATCGAAAATGGAGAGACTAGAAGAAGTACAAGTATTGAGGGAATGAAAGAGCTTGAAGGAACCATGTTGCCTGCTTTTCTTGCTGCTCTGGCTTGCATTTAAGAATGGTCTGACAAGCCCTCTATTTGTATTAATCCTGACATCACTTTAGCTCAACCAGCATCATTGGTCAGGAGTCTCTTTTTAACTTTTCATTGGCTTGTTTTGCTTTCAGAAGCTGAAGAGGAACATAAATGCAATTGATTGCTTTAATTAGCAAAGATCTAAGAATAGGCTCTAATTGGTTTCTACTAGTGAAGGAAAATAGAAGTGACTTTTTCTCTTTTCCATTGGTATTTCTTAGGCTTAAGTAAGTAAATATATAAAGGTATGGTAGAATTGGAAGGAAAGAAGAGAGTATAGATCTTTTTTTCGGCTGTTTTTTCGGGTTTTTGTGAGAATGAAAGATGGAATTCTGATTATTACACTTTCAGCTTGGCCAAATGTATGTATCTAGCTAAGTTTTTAGTCGGAATTAGTGACCTATTGAAGATTGAACTCTCAATGCACGAAAAATGATCTGAAAACACCCTGGCATTTAAACCAAAAAAATCTAAAAGTCTTTCAGGCATTAAATCCATAAATTTTTGCAGATATTATTAGTAAATCAAGTGCTAATCTCATATACATTGTGTATCTAATGTCTGTATTCTTATCTAATTAGACATTCTCTGCATAAAAATATGATTCAATATTAAGTTGGTTTGAACATTCAGTATCCTCATTTCTTTTATAAAAAAAAAAATGCTTTGCAGATGTGTGATTTATGATTTTTCTATTTTTTTTCTAATTAATACCATAGTACATAAACAAGTGTGTAGAGAGACTACAGCAATTATGATACGGAATATTTTGTCTTTCACAACCATGCATATAATAATTTTTTTATTTTTTACTTTTTTTGTTAATACAAAAGTTGAGTAAATCATAATTTAGTACCTCTCATTTCAGAACAATAATAATAATTAGTCTTCTTGTTTGTTCTTCATGTTTTAATTTTATGAATAACTTAATCTTTTCATCAGTTTTCGTTAGATTAATGATTTTTTTCTCCAAATTACCCTTCTTTTGATGCCTTAATCATCTTATTCACCCACTCTTTTTCTCTTTTCTCAATTAAAAAAAATCAAAGAAATGGTAATTCGGGAACAAAAATTACTAATCTAACGAAAAACTAATAAAATAACTACGTTATTGATAGAATTAAAATGTAGATAACTAAATGGTTAATTTTTGAACGAAAAGGGATAAATTCATTTGTTTCTCTAAACAAGAGGGACTAATTTATAATTTACTAGAACAAAATTTCTAATTTAGTTAAAAAAAAAAAATCAACTTTAGTATCAATGAGTTAGATTAATCTTTGAAAACCATGACACTTCAAATACTTGCCGTTTACACCTTTTGTCAACCCTATGTCCCAATCAAGAATTCCAGAAAAAATGGCCGACATAAGATACCAAGATGTCTAACACCTTGCCGCAGAAAGAGTTTGCTAACTGGTCAATTATTTCGGCACCGATTCCAGAGATGTTGTTCAGGATTGTGTCTTAAAATGGAGTGTAAATAAAGGTAAGCAAACATGCTTTTTATACAACATCTGATGCATTTAAAAAAAATAAAATCATATTCCTGTTTATAGCAAACTTTATATTATAATAATAAAAATAATAATAATAATCTGGCCTGTGGTATAATGGAGAGATCAAACAAGTATGGTGCACCTACCAAACATATCTCTAGCTATGAATTATTCTTCAATTTCTTCTTTTCATGGAGAGTGGAAGAGGTGGG